ATGTTAAAACTTATATTAAAGTTTTTCTTCATTACCCATTCAAGCCGTCTCCAAGCATTATTAGTCTCAAAGTGGGTTCCTCGTCATCGAATCAGTAAGTGACCTCACTAATTAACCTTATATTATTATATTCAATCATTCTGAAGAGTTTTGGTTTTCTGCGAAAGGCCTCGTCGGCACTAGATATCGCATGTGTGAAAATTATACCTGAAAGGTTGCACAAACTCAAACGAATGCAATCAACAACGCATATCTGATGTTTAGAATCGTTTCCTTTCATACATGTCCACTAGACTGACAATTCAAGACTACCCGTCAGGCACCTGCTTAACACTGCGCGTGTCACTTTCTGTACAAGCTACCTGCGATACCGATTTTCGAGCGTATTTCCTTTGCAGTTGTTGTCAGAACGATCTAGACAGTCGGCGCATGCGTGGCACATTCTCTCTCTGTGGAACGTCCCTGCACATCTAGCTCGAGACTCGTTTGTTTTATGTGTTAGCATGTAGAAGAGACATAGAGCCGTGGGGGTTTTTCCTATTGACGTTTCTATTGACTCTCAAATATGTGAGGATGTCTATCGCTTCTATACTTTGTCATCAAAGGCTGTTAGGAGAGAAGAAGGTTGAATTTTAATGTTAAGTAAACACTCGATAAGAACATTATGTGACAGAAGCTATTCAAAGTTTACATGTTGTTAATATCAGCTGTGCAGTGTTATCGTTGGTGTAATGTCAAGTACTTCTGGCTTATGTAACAATGTGATTACGTAGGACCGGTCAGACATTCCAGTGTGAACATTCACAGTGACATTCCGATGTCTGACTTGACGATACGATCCTATAGATCTGAAGTCAGACGCAAAGTTTATCGTGTACACAAACGACACTATTGAGGTGCTATTCCGAAACTCTGAACTAAGAGTGACTACGGTGAAACGAGATGTGTCGCAAGACTTGATGATCGATATTGTCCAGTTTTCCACGTTTTTGAAAATAATCTAAGAATGGACAGTTAAAATTTCATTCAAGTGTATGGCAGTGAAGTATCAAAAAATCGTGATCAGTAACGAAAATAGGGTAAAAAAAATGGAAACTACAAACCGTTGCTTCTGGCGTTAGAAACAAACATTTGAAAAATATGTTTGTTATGACAATGACCACGTGAATGACCACAATATTCGAAAAGAGGGCGTTAAAATCAAGTGAAACATCATGAATAATGCTGCAGTCATTGGAAGACAGCTCCGGCAGAATAATGTCAATTACAGGGGTTCGGTGTACGGACCCTCCCACCCTCCTCAAACCAACAGCAGGAAGAATCAGAAGGGTTTGTCTGTTTTACGGAGTAAAACCAGCTTCTCTTGTATTTGGTCGAGCATCAAGGCTCTCAGCGGCGGGATATTTCTCTTTGCTGGCGGCATGGCGATGATGGTCGTGGGCTTCTTCGCTGAGCCGCTCTCGACTAGATTCGTGGAACTGGGAAACGGAACCATGATTTCAAAAAAAGACGCCGATCTGAAAACTCACCTGATAAATCTAGGCTACGTGGGCCCCGTTATCATGGGCATTGGGGGCATAGCAATCGTCGCAGCCGTCGTCTTTGCCTTCGACGCTAAAGAGCCCGTAGGATCTAAAATAGTGCCAATGACAGATGACCAACTCATTGGTCTAGACCGTCTCGTGAAAGAAAAAACTCGAGAAGAAAAAGCGCTCGAAGAGAAACAAATAGCTTCCAAACAGTTTTGGTACGGAGAAAGTAAAACGACAATTTCGGGGTCTTTAATGGCTCCTCCAGACGTGTCTCCAGTCGTGACTGACCACCCTAGCCAACATCCACAACCAAACCATTATGAATTAAAAATAGAAGGTCAGAAATACTAACCCTAATACTTGGAAGCATAGAATTTTTTTGTATTAATTGAAATGTTTCTGATTTATTGGATTGTCTAACCGGAGGTAATTTAGGGTTAGAAACTCAATTCTTCAATAAATCATGAACCCTGTTGTCGTCTGTCCTGGTTATTTAAACGCCGGAGGATTAGCTACTGACTACCCCCTAGGACGTCTCCAAAACCATCTCGATGGTATTGGTGGAACTGTCATCCCAGCTTTCGAACTTGGAAGGTGTCGTCCCCTGTTTCGCATAAGGTCGTGTCAAAACTCTTGCCCCTGGTGTCGAATTGGACAAGTAAATTTAATGTGACGAAAACTCTAAGACCGTGAGTTGAAATATTCCAGTAAGGTTTAGGATACCATAGACTAAATCACGTGGTAACTTCACAAAGAACAAAAAATCCGCATGGTTACCACTTTAGTCCAGGCTGGGGGACAAGAGCGAGCTGGGAGGAAGAACGTGTAAAGCTATAATAAACTTGGCTTTTACTCACCTGTTTCAGGAATTATTCTGTAAATTTTAGACAATGTTGCCTCCTTCAGGAGATTTCTTCGCCACGCTGATGTTGTGTAACTATTTTTACCTCTGTAGTTTGCTCCTAACGTAGATTGTAAATTACCTTACTCCAGCTTTGATATATATACCACATTTTGTCTTTTTAAACATTTATATATCGAGGGCTTAATACCTGTACAGTTGATATAAGAGACATTTACGATATCTCCTATCGTTAGTATTTATTTCCATACGATATATTATATCTCAAATTCTATTTATAATATATTTACGGTAATTTATTCGATTCACTCAGTATTATAGACATGATTCTCTCCTCCCTAACTCTAGAATTCTTCCACTTCTGAATACATCTTACTTGTAGACAATTTTGTAAATTATTATATGCTTAATATTGGCATTGTGAGCCTTCTGTAAGAATATGATAGACAAAACCTGCACGAGCTTCTTTGTTGCACACGTCAGTTTGAGCGTTACGATTTAAATCAATCAGTACTGGTAGCTTAGCTGTTTTGTGAAAACCGAAATCCTTCAAAAGGAAAATATAAACAGTAAGATAAATTTCCTATAGAATTGATATCCCGGACATTAGGTTCCCAGGCCAGCCTTCCAATTCTTCCTGGATAGAATATTTAGTTTCTGGATAATTGAAAACTCGCTCTCTTTCTATATATATATATATATGTATGCTCCTTTCTTATATATATATCTATATAAATGTTTATAATAATTCTTCCTGTGGGACAGTAACAATGATTTGTTTGAGTTACTGGACACGAGAGGCGTATTACTTCAAGTTATTGAAATCATAGTTTTTCAGTACATATTCCTCTACAGTTACTCGTTTAGTCTTCTCACTATGATGATAAATTGTTTTTTTGTATTTAGTTATCAATAGTTATTTTCTCGCTTGCTAATCCTGTTACTTATTCGTTTTTGGTTTGTCATTTTTATGTTCTCTATTGTGCACGAAACAAACAATAAATGTAAATTTTTTACCGCTTTTCTTACTGTTGTATTTTTTACTTACAAATGTCATTTTAGAACATTCTATACTGATTATTAGATATTTCAATATCCAAAAATTCGCTGCGATTTCTCCCACCTAATATTAATTTATCTTACCAAGGACTGCTCTACGCTGTGTATGTTATAATGTGTTTTTTCATCAAGCTGATCATTCTAGGATCTGCTATGTCTATCGCGAGGAAACGCCTGGGATACTTGTATAATGTGACTGCTTTGTTCTGTACGTATTATTGTAAATATATGTTGTGTTTCTACAGCAAAATTTAATTAAGCCTTTTTCTGAATTTTTAAATGTGACTGAATGAAGATTGTAACGTTTCTAAGGAAACCGAGCATGGTTTGAATTATAAATATTGTTACTTTTCTGATATAGAGCCTGGTTTGTTTAAATACCTCATTTCTAATTTCTGTTATAGTTTTTTAAATCAAGTTTTATGTGTAAGAATTTTATTTTTACCGATACGTTGCCACGATAAAATGTATACAATATTATCATGCCAGTTTTCCACTACTCGTATAGAAAAAGTAAATTATCGACTACTCTTCTACTTTTTACTTTTAAATTTAGCTGCGTTTCTAAAAAAAAATATATCAAATTATTACTAATTGTTTTACCTACAGGTGTGTTTCTAATTATCAAAGATTTGTGATTAAAAGTAAGTGAACTACATAGGTGAAATAATTCGGAAGTAACTTATAAGTTAATTAAGGCATACAGCGTTTGTTATCGCGTATACACCTTTCACAAGCTGGCGAATCATGATTAAAATTATACCATTACATTTTTAAATAATACATTATTTACCTAGTCCCTAATCAATAATTAGAAGAATGTATAATAATAATAATAGTATCAACCACGATATATTTGTTGTATCCATTCGCTCAATCCAAAGCTCTTTAGGCCGGCTGGGTTACAACTAACTCATTCCTGGTCGGAACACTATTTATATATTTGTTACAACAACAATTGTTATGTTTTTTTTTACTTTACTTACTGGTTATAAGTATTATTTTATTACAAGTTACAGCTTTTACATTAAGGAATAATATTTATTTAAAAAATACTACGTTTTGATCACTGGTGCGATCACTCTCAAGTTAGAATGTTTGTACCCGTTTTAAAAATACTCTTCCTTACTGTAAAGTCTGTAACTTGTAATAAAAATAAAAATTGTTATGTTTTTTTTTTACAAGGTGGGGAAACACTGTTTAATCAGTTCAGTACTTTCAGTCATAATCTCAATAATATCGCTCGAGGTTAGGCCAACTTTAGAGATTTAGGTTAACCCTAAATCCAAACCATGCAAGCCAACAAAACAAATCACTGAAAAATTATATTTATATAGATAAAAAAAATTAACATTATAAACAATCAAATCTTGTAAAAGCAAAAATACTTTTCAACATATCGGCTTCTTGTTTAAAAACAATTCTACAGTCTAGCTGTACCTCTTAAATGCTGTATACTATAGTAGTGATTACTCTCTTGGTATTTGACCGCGTCATAAGTATGGCTCGTGAATAGGTTCGTTTGGTTTTCCGATGGTCTTATTAATTTCTCAATTTTAACCAATTTTGGTATTTTTTCACTTTAAGTCAATTGTTTACTTTTTATATTTTAAATTAAGTAACGTGGATTATAAGTTTCTGCATATAAAATATCAATATATATTGAAAACGACACAAATTCAATAAATATTTTAAAAAATTGAGGATAAAGCCATATTTTCTCGCAGTTCAAAACAGCCGTGTTGAATTAATGTGGATGAAATCATAAATTGTTGAAAAACGTTATGCTGAGAAATAAGTGTGTTTCATGTTTACAAAAAGATAACAAGATAACCATTATTATTATATCAACAGTTTCCGCAAAATTGGATACTTTCAATTTAAGCTTGTATTTAAAAACTATTAATCACTAATGGGGTTTCAATGAATATTTGGTTGATAGAGAAACTTTAAGCCTCTACGAGAATCCTAATTTAGCTTCAAGTAAAACAACTATTTGATGGGAAATACAATCCTATTTCTGGGCAGGAATTCTGTATCATGTATTCTTTAAACTTGTGTAATTTATGTACGAGCTCATATTTCTTATTTATGTGAACATGAATATGCTACGAAGTGTGTGACGTAAACAGTGTAGAAAGATATACATATTTTTGCCTACATATTATTGTTATTTAACGTTCTCACGTTTTAAAAATGCAATTGTAATCTTTTTTTTTTAAGTTTCATGTTTATGTGAATTCCAAGTATGGTATTATTGTTGTCTGAAACATTGTTATAAATGTCATGTTTTACATTGTTGCACCTGGTACAATTTTTAAAAATGCAATTGTAATCTTTAATGTTTATGTGAATTCCAAGTATGGTATTATTGTTGTCTGAAACATTGTTATAAATGTCATGTTTTACATTGTTGCACCTGGCTCGAGTCGGACGACAAGGGTATTTGTTGTTAAATATTTTTAAACGTGCTATTATTTCTTAATTACTCTATTTATTTTTTCATGGTGATAAAGATAACTGAAAACTTGTCATGTTCACCTGCAAATATTCTCTAATTATGATAAAACTCTCCAAGCGCCAGGTTTATTGGAATACACAAGAAACAATAAAACATATATTATTTAATTTCTGTAGTGCATATCAGTATATAGAAGACATATTAATAGTAGAAATAAACGACCTTGTAACATCAAAATGTTGTACGTATTTAATTAGAAACCATTTGAAGCTTTGTACTGTCAGTTTCGGTTTGTGTTTTAGTGAACGCTCTTGGAGAAGCTGTAAAGCGAAACTTTGAGTGTCTAATTAACACATTATGGTGTTATAAGGTCATTTATTTAACAAAATAGACACGTTTTAGTATTTCAATAGTTACTTGAAACTTGTAAACTTTGGTAAAGTTGAGGGAGACAGACATATATGCCCATTGCAGTGTAAGCACTTAACGAAGATAATTTGTTCCAAATACAGAAGTATCTCGAGACATTTCTCCGTACTATACGAAACATGTTTATATTCAAAAGAGTTTGAATGCGTGTGTTCGAGTTTTAATTAACCCATAGAAACTGACACTTGTATAAATAACTATATTCGGATTGTCATGGTTATGGAGAAATGACACAATAGAGACGTCAACCAATGACGAACATTTGAACATAAATCAGAGTTAAACACTCATTGGTGTTAATTATTCAAAACTAAACGCTACTCACACAGTTTACTACCATGCATTCCCCACGATATTAATTAGTGATAATTATATATAAGCTAAATCCGAAATGTTAATTCTAATGATGCAAGGAAGTATTATTTTTAAGTGCTGCTAAAGAAATACACGACAGGGTGCGTTGTGAGATAGTCTTCCCAAATAATCGTTTTACAGAAAAGGGCGCGTGATTTTTTATCTTGCCAGAAATCGTGTACGTATTATTCTGACACTTTTAAATTACAACTGTCAAGATGTAACTGGTAAATTTACTTGAAAATACAGGAACTTCCTTACAGTAAGTTATCTTACACGTGTTTTTATTTATTTAATGTTTTGTTATAAAAAATGTGGAACGGTCGGCTGCAGATAATTGTTAACTTGTAAGTTCGTTGAACTCCGGTCTCTGCAGTACAATGTTTTATGGTTCAGTTCGAGACAGAGGCAGCCAGCCATACGTGACAAATGATGGAGTTTATTTGTACATTGGACTATTTAGCTGGTTTTGATTTTTTTTTTATAGCTTGTGTTCTGTAAAATACGTTTCAGTGTTGTTTTATATAAAAGGTTTATTTCACAAATTTTATTGTCTGTCTGTTTGTATGTACTGTTGTAAATTTTTAACTCGTACTCATGCGTTATATCGAAAATGTGTCTGACCACTACCCTAGCAGCTAATATTAAAATTCGTTAATTTTCGAGTTTACAAACATCTTTATGTTAAAGAGCTAAGAGCAAACGTTTTAATAACTGAAGTTTTGCTTAAACTAACAAGATTTATTTAGAAAATAACTACTGGCATCTCAAGGATTTTCTTTGGGTGAGCTCGTTCTGTTCGAGGTTCACTTTTCGTACACACACTTAACTACTCGTGATGAACAAATTATGCTGACGATAGTGATATTTTTCAAAATTACTTTCACTATTTGGTCCCTCGGGTTTTATTCCGATAAGAAGAGTGTATAATAGCACTTCTATGACAACCTTATACATGTCTGATAAACTCTTATTATCAGGATGCAACAAACACAGCGGTAGTTGGAAAACTATCTATATAAGCCATTTCTCAGAATAAAGATAAGTCCTTTGTTAGAATAAAGATAAGCCATTTGTTATAATAAAGATAAGTCATTTGTTGGAATAAAGATAAGTCATTTGTTAGAATAAAGATAAGCCATTTCTCAGAATAAAGATAAGCCATTTGTTATAATAAAGATAAGTCATTTGTTGGAATAAAGATAAGTCCTTTGTTAGAATAAAGATAAGTCATTTGTTAGAATAAAGATAAACCCTTTGTTAGAATAAAGATAAGTCCTTTGTTAGAATAAAGATAAGCCATTTGTTAGAATAAAGATAAGTCATTTGTTGGAATAAAGATAAGTCATTTGTTGGAATAAAGATAAGTCATTTGTTGGAATAAAGATAAGTCATTTGTTAGAATAAAGATAAGCCATTTCTCAGAATAAAGATAAGCCATTTGTTATAATAAAGATAAGTCCTTTGTTGGAATAAAGATAAGTCCTTTGTTAGAATAAAGATAAGTCATTTGTTAGAATAAAGATAAGTCCTTTGTTAGAATAAAGATAAGTCCTTTGTTAGAATAAAGATAAGCCATTTGTTAGAATAAAGATAAGTCATTTGTTGGAATAAAGATAAGTCATTTGTTGGAATAAAGATAAGCCCTTTGTTAGAATAAATATAAGCCATTGTTAGAATAAAGATAAGCCATTTGTTATAATAAATATAAGCCATTGTTAGAATAAAGATAAGCCATTTGTTATAATAAAGAGGATCGAAGTTTATATACACCTCACTTATGTATATCCCTTTTTTAAAGTTATATTTCACCGTATTGTATAATATACGGTAGAAATACTGGCTAGGAGTATATAGGTGTGAACAAACTTACTTCTGAAACGTATTCAGTTACCCCAACGTAAACGAAAACATGAACTACTTATCCTGTCCGGAACGTGACTTTACCGTACTGTATTTCACCGTATTTGTTTAGGCATTGCGGCGAAGAACGTTACGATAGTTGTTCACTGACATTGTACTGGCCGTTCAGTACGTTACGGGTGTGATAAGGGTCTGGTATCGCTGTTAACCTACGAGTAGATCAGGCCCGTGGTTGGGCGTCAAATACTTGCGATCTCGGGTTTAAGTTAGGGCGCCAATTAAACCATCACCGGCCTAGAAGTAAATACGACAGTTCGAGGATTTAATGTTGTGTAATTCTCATCCTTCCTTTCTCCTGGTGACGCCCCTGATAACTATAACATATTAACACAATAGTATTATGTCATTAACATTGTCTGTGTGTCTCATTTCCTCCACATCAGTTTGTGAAATCATTCACGTTTATGACCAGAGGACATTTAAACTCATATTTCAGTTGTTTGTTTTTCTGGGTTTTTTTTTTTCTATAATAAAAAGTAATTAATAACTTATGATTTTCATTTCTTTCGTCATATGATATAACCTTTATTCTAAACACGTGTGTTAATATTCCAAAAAATATTACAGTCTCGGGAACCATAGAATACAACATAGCACGCGAAATATTAAAAAAAAAAAAAATGCGTGAGATTACCACAGTCAGCAGGTTTTCGTTAACTCGAGGACATTGGTTCAGCCTATCCGTTACTATAGAATCACAAAACACGTACTGGTCGGTACCATGACGACCATGAGTTATTGACTTGTACGTACAACTGTATACGAATTTACTGGCTGGGAATTAAAAGTACCGACTGCTTGGTTTTTTTATTTTTTTATCTTTCTTCAACTGTTATTTACTTAATTAAAACTGACAGAACGTCAGTGTTAACCGGGACTCGTAATAATTTCCCGATAGAAATAACGTTCGAAATAGACACTTTTTTACGTCACATCTGTACAGACACGTGCATACAAGACAATGAAGTGAATTAAGAGGGGTGTTAGTTCGATTATTAAATGTAATGTTATCCCGTTTTATTATACTAAACTAATATTATAATTTCATTAAGCCTTTCCTTATATACGAGTAAATTAGATTAGAGGTATACGTATATATATATATTGTTGTTTTTTTGTATGGTTGCAGAAATTTTCATCAATATTTATTTATCTTGTAAGAAAGACATATGCGGAGAGGTTGACTACATTACACTAATATAATTTTGACATTGCAAGTCACGTGGAAACCACAGCTGATATAAAGTCGCGGAGGAACAGAATGTATTAGAACTACATTTTGACATTGTTTGATAGTGTGAAGCCAACGTAAATTGATTGCTTTTTGGAAGGGTGTGTAACAGCCTTTTCCGTCGCAAAATATTCATTCGCTCAGATCATAAAGATAAGTTCAAGTCGAGGGATTTATAATTTTATTTTTACTGAATAGTATCGAAAAACGAAGGAGTATGGGGCACCAGGAACCATCAGAAAGAGACCTGTAACAAGTCTTACGCCCGCCTTGGTAACCAAAGTGTGGTGTCTTGTACTAGATGAGAATCCACGAACACAAAGGTCTGTAGCAAAAGCTGTCTATGTGCCACGGGCAACAGTATGCAACATAATAAAAAAGGATTTCCATCTGGAAATGAGCCCAATGGGGTTTTGGGTTCACCAAGACCTTCCTTTCAACTGTCACATACCTAAGGCAGCTGCATAATGAAATGGTTATTCATGCTACTCCATACGAAGACATACTGGTTAAATCACTGTACATAGCGCTTACGGATTTTTGTGCGATCGGATTGTTGAAACGGACCCCAGGAAACTGTCGTCCTTGTGCACTAGATGGTTTATGGAAACCAAGTTGGGAGGAGTTGTGTGCTTTTGACATGACAGTCTTATGGCAGAGCATTTTGCAATGGAAACTACACTGTAGGGCTCTTGTCAGGGTCCACGGTCGTCGGTAAGCTTTGCGCTTAACAACAAACGTACAATATATATCAAAATTAAATACCAAGTAAAAAAACATACACACACACATATTTTTTCGATCATCCGGATCACACAGCTGATTTTTTTTATTTTTTTTTATAAATAGTCAATTTGAATCACAAAAACTAAGTGTGCAACTTTCATAGGGAAAAACAATATTAATTTATCACGAACCACGATAGTGTTTCATACTAGGGGTCGTTTATTTTTAATGATGGTTCTATAACAAAATCTCCTTGACGATGATAACTAACTTTCTTAATATAGTTAACTTTAGAGATCAGAAAAACGTACTTTATCAGATATGGATGCCGTCAACTTTATATTGTTTTATACATTCCGTTAAAAGGTCATACAACCAACAATTATTTGATTGGTTTTTAAGTTAAAAGAAAGCAACCTCAAAGATCTTAAGTAAAACAGCAAACATTCTCTTGCTGTTAGCTCATTTGAAAACATCACAATCCATTAGTTATTTTTTTTCAGTCACTAATTACAACAAACAGTTTCTTCTACGCCTCGTTCTTCATTTG